AGACACTCACAGAGACTCATAGACACTCATAGAGACCCTTAGACACTCATAGAGACTCACAGAGAGCTATGGAGCCTGCTGCACCATCTACACCTGTGGTGAGACACTCACAGAGACTCATAGACACTCATAGAGACCCTTAGACACTCATAGAGACTCACAGAGAGCTATGGAGCGTGCTGCACCATCTACACCTGTGGTGAGACACTCACAGAGACCCATAGACACTCATAGAGACCCTTAGACACTCATAGAGACTCACAGAGAGCTATGGAGCCTGCTGCACCATCTACACCTGTGGTGAGATACTCACAGAGACTCATAGACACTCATAGAGACCCTTAGACACTCATAGAGACCCACAGAGAGCTATGGAGCCTGCTGCACCGTCTACACCTGTGGTGAGACACTCACAGAGACTCATAGACACTCATAGAGACCCTTAGACACTCATAGAGACTCATAGACACTCATAGAGACCCTTAGACACTCATAGAGACTCACAGAGAGCTATGGAGCCTGCTGCACCGTCTACACCTGTGGTGAGACACTCATAGAGACCCTTAGACACTCATAGAGACCCTTAGACACTCACAGAGACTCACAGAGAGCTATGGAGCCTGCTGCACCATCTACACCTGTGGTGAGACACTCACAGAGACTCATAGACACTCATAGAGACCCTTAGACACTCATAGAGACTCATAGACACTCATAGAGACCCTTAGACACTCATAGAGACTCACAGAGAGCTATGGAGCCTGCTGCACCATCTACACCTGTGGTGAGACACTCACAGAGACTCATAGACACTCATAGAGACCCTTAGACACTCATAGAGACTCACAGAGAGCTATGGAGCCTGCTGTACCATCTACACCTGTGGTGAGACACTCACAGAGACTCATAGACACTCATAGAGACCCTTAGACACTCATAGAGACTCACAGAGAGCTATGGAGCCTGCTGCACCATCTACACCTGTGGTGAGACACTCACAGAGACTCATAGACACTCATAGAGACCCTTAGACACTCATAGAGACTCACAGAGAGCTATGGAGCCTGCTGCACCATCTACACCTGTGGTGAGACACTCACAGAGACTCATAGACACTCATAGAGACCCTTAGACACTCACAGAGACTCACAGAGAGCTATGGAGCCTGCTGCACCATCTACACCTGTGGTGAGACACTCACAGAGACTCATAGACACTCATAGAGACCCTTAAACACTCATAGAGACTCACAGAGAGCTATGGAGCCTGCTGTACCATCTACACCTATGGTGAGACACTCACAGAGACTCATAGACACTCATAGAGACCCTTAGACACTCATAGAGACCCACAGAGAGCTATGGAGCCTGCTGCACCATCTACACCTGTGGTGAGACACTCACAGAGACTCATAGACACTCATAGAAACACGGAGACAATTTCCACCGAGGAGATGCATTCTGAGCTTAGCAATCATTGGAAGGATTTGTTAAACCATTTCGGGTCCTAATTGATTGTTCACGCTTACAGTTACCATGAGAGATTCGTTCATGAGGCTATCCACACATATACAAACACGGAGACAATTTAAACCGAGGAGATGGATTCTGGGCTTAGCAATCATTGGAAGGATTTGTTAAACCATTTCGGGTCTTAATTGATTGTTCACGCTTACGGTTACAATGAGAGATGCGTTCGTGAGGCTATCCACACATATACAAACACGGAGACAATTTCAACCGAGGAGATGGATTCTGGGCTTAGCAATCATTGGAAGGATTTGTTGAACCATTTCGGGTCCTAATTGATTGTTCACGCTTACGGTTACCGTGAGAGATTCGTTCACGAGGCTATCCACGTGTACAAACACGGAGACAATTTCCACCGAGAAGATGGATTCTGGGCTTAGCAATCATTGGAAGGATTTGTTAAACCATTTCAGGTCTTAATTGATTGTTCACGCTTACGGTTACCATGAGAGATTCGTTCATGAGGCTATCCACACATATACAAACACGGAGACAATTTCAACCAAGGAGATGGATTCTGGGCTTAGCAATCATTGGAAGGATTTGTTGAACCATTTCGGGTCCTGATTGATTGTTCACGCTTGCGGTTACCATGAGAGATTCATTCACGAGGCTATCCACACATATACAAACACGGAGACAATTTCCACCGAGGAGATGGATTCTGGGCTTAGCAATCATTGGAAGGATTTGTTAAACCATTTCGGGTCTTAATTGATTGTTCACGCTTACGGTTACCGTGAGAGATTCGTTCACGAGGCTATCCACACATTTACAAACACGGAGACAATTTCCACCGAGGAGATGGATTCTGGGCTTAGCAATCATTGGAAGGGTTTGTTGAACCATTTCGGGTCTTAATTGATTGTTCACGCTTACGGTTACCGTGAGAGATTCGTTCACGAGGCTCTCCACACATGTACAAACACGGAGACAATTTCCACCGAGAAGATGGATTCTGGGCTTAGCAATCATTGGAAGGATTTGTTGAACCATTTCGGGTCCTAATTGATTGTTCACGCTTACAGTTACCGTGAGAGATTCGTTCATGAGGCTATCCACACATTTACAAACACGGAGACAATTTCAACCGAGGAGATGGATTCTGGGCTTAGCAATCATTGGAAGGATTTGATAAACCATTTCGGGTCTTAATTGATTGTTCACGCTTACGGTTACCATGAGAGATTCGTTCACCAGGCTATCCACATATACAAACACGGACACAATTTCAACCGAAAATATGGATTCTGGGCTTAGCAATCATTGGAAGGATTTGTTAAACCATTTCAGGTCTTAATTGATTGTTCACGCTTACAGTTACCATGAGAGATTCGTTCGTGAGGCTATCCACATATACAAACACGGAGACAATTTCAACCGAGGAGATGGATTCTGGGCTTAGCAATCATTGGAAGGATTTGTTAAACCATTTCGGGTCCTGATTGATTGTTCACGCTTACAGTTGCCTTGAGAGATCCGTTCATGAGGCTATCCACACATATACAAACACGGAGACAATTTCAACCGAGGAGATGGATTCTGGGCTTAGCAATCATTGGAAGGATTTGTTGAACCATTTCGGGTCCTGATTGATTGTTCACGCTTACGGTTACCATGAGAGATTCGTTCAAGAGGCTATCCACACATTTACAAACACGGAGACAATTTCAACCGAGGAGATGGATTCTGGGCTTAGCAATCATTGGAAGGATTTGTTGAACCATTTCGGGTCCTAATTGATTGTTCACGCTTACGGTTACCGTGAGAGATCCGTTCACGAGGCTATCCACACATATACAAACACGGAGACAATTTCCACCGAGGAGATGGATTCTGGGCTTAGCAATCATTGGAAGGATTTGTTAAACCATTTCGGGTCTTAATTGATTGTTCACGCTTACGGTTACAATGAGAGATGCGTTCGTGAGGCTATCCACATATACAAACACGGAGACAATTTCCACCGAGGAGATGGATTCTGGGCTTAGCAATCATTGGAAGGATTTGTTGAACCATTTCGGGTCTTAATTGATTGTTCACGCTTACGGTTACCATGAGAGATTCGTTCACGAGGCTCTCCACACATATACAAACACGGAGACAATTTCAACCGAGGAGATGGATTCTGGGCTTAGCAATCATTGGAAGGATTTGTTAAACCATTTCGGGTCCTGATTGATTGTTCACGCTTACGGTTACCGTGAGAGATTCGTTCATGAGGCTATCCACACATGTACAAACACGGAGACAATTTCCACCGAGGAGATGGATTCTGTGCTTAGCAATCATTGGAAGGATCTGTTGAACCATTTCGGGTCCCAATTGATTGTTCACGCTTACGGTTACCGTGAGAGATTCGTTCACGAGGCTATCCACACATGTACAAACACGGAGACAATTTCCACCGAGGAGATGGATTCTGGGCTTAGCAATCATTGGAAGGATTTGTTAAACCATTTCGGGTCCTGATTGATTGTTCACGCTTACAGTTACCATGAGATATTCGTTCAAGAGGCTATCCACACATATACAAACACGGAGACAATTTCAACCGAGGAGATGGATTCTGGGCTTAGCAATCATTGGAAGGATTTGATAAACCATTTTGGGTCTTAATTGATTGTTCACGCTTACGGTTACCATGAGAGATTCGTTCAAGAGGCTATCCACACATATACAAACACGGAGACAATTTCAACCGAGGAGATGGATTCTGGGCTTAGCAATCATTGGAAGGATTTGATAAACCATTTTGGGTCTTAATTGATTGTTCACGCTTACGGTTACCATGAGAGATTCGTTCAAGAGGCTATCCACACATTTACAAACACGGAGACAATTTCCACCGAGGAGATGGATTCTGGGCTTAGCAATCATTGGAAGGATTTGTTAAACCATTTCGGGTCCCAATTGATTGTTCACGCTTACGGTTACCGTGAGAGATTCGTTCACGAGGCTAT